ATTAAGAGGAGATGAACAAAACGGCGAATAAATTTTAATTAAGTACTATAAATTAAAGACCGATAAATATTAATCAAAAAAAAATAAAGCTTGTGGTTTTCGATTTTGGGCCAGTAGTTATATCGACTCGTAGTTGAACGATTCATGGTTCAGGGTACCAAACACCTTTGTGGCCTTGAACCATGTATCGTTCAACCGTTTGTCGTAAACAAATAATTAATAATTTAAGAATAATATAAAACATTCATTTAAAAACTCTGAGACTCACTTTTGACCAGTACTCTTTCGAAATAGTGAAAAATACAACGAAGCTTTTGGAAACAGATCCTGTTGTATTCAAAAAATCGGTAGAAATTGATTTCAGGAAACCGGACGTGATTCGAAGGGTTGGTGAGCAGTAACAAAGTTGGGAAGGTGCATAAAAACGCGTTAGCCAGAAGACAGGATGCCTGATACTGACTCATCGTTACCGTCGCCGATGTCCCGCGGCGCAGTAGAGGAATAGCCTGCAAAATTTATCAATATTACATATAAGTTTTATAAACAGATTCGAAAATACACAAGTTCTGAGTAATGACTGAATAATAGAACGTGGTTGATTGAACAGTAATGACAGACTGACTGACTGATTTATTGGTTGATTGACTCATTGTCAAAGGGACTAAACAACTCAAAGTCTGTCAGCTTGCCTACCTACTTATTTGGTTGCCGATGAGTACGTAACTGATTCATGCTAAGAAGGCTTTCTTTCCACAATCAACGTCAATGGGGAAAAGCAAGTCTGTTGCCATTAACCTTTGAGTTGGGCAAGACCATGTTCTCTAACCATTATTCTCTAGCCATATTATTTAATAATTTACTGATGGATTGTTGGAATGATGGATTTACTGTTGTTAATGATGCTCTGAAATGCATAAAATACATCTATAACAGTAGTACTTGGATACCTGTTGTCGCATACCGATTGAGATCAGTACGAAAAGGAAATTTTTCCCTCCCAGGGTTTGTTCTTCCATAAGTGCCAAATCCACACGTCTAAAAGCATGTATGGACATGCCTCACATACAGTACTAAAAGGTAGACGGTTTCGTACTAACCAATCCCAACGATGCCGTGGACAGGGCACAAAGTAAACATGCTAAACATCTAAGGATCACTCGTCCTGCTGACTTATTACGAAGCAAGAACATATTTGGTTAGTGATGACTTTTAGATGCCGGGCAGCATTTTATGCAGAGATTAGAGAACTTGCACACTCCACAAAAGGCACTTAACATGTCTATCCTCTCGTGCAATCTACTGTTGCACACATGCTATTGTTATTGCTTTTTCTGGCCTATCAGCCTATGACTTTAAGGTATTACACTGGTCTCCTAGGTTTCTGTCAAGACTTAGCCGCTGGCAATTCTAAGACTCGAGTGTAGTTCCGTAACGAAACGGGTTATTTCGGACATTCACAGACACCACATAGATACACACTCTGTTGTCAAAATATCTAATGCACAGAGATGGTCCCTGAAACAGTGTTCTTCACTCCCAAGAAATCAATCAATCTCCAGGAGTAAAAGGTTTCTTCGCGGTCGTAAACCGTGGGCGAATCAGCTTCGACAGCTGAGGCTGATGCGCGCTAACAGCAGAGCTGGTGCACGTCATCAGTCAGACTATTCTTCAGATGAAAGGGATCGCTACACCGTTCAAGGAATTGACATCATATAATGTAGTCTCAGCGAGCGTACTGCATCCGGATGGGAAACAACGGACTGAAAACATCTCGCATCTTCCACATCACAGTCATTCCAAGTAATTGTCACATAGTAGTTCCACGGGATCTCGCATATCGGCTTATGTACATTTTTACAAGGACGAAAATCTTTCACTGGTATTTAGCACACATGCTCGTTCTCTGAGATTCAAAATGGTAAACAGCGTTCTGCTTTCATACTAATGTGTTTTTAGACATTCAGTACTTCTGTTCCCTTCTTGTTCTGCCTTATTCCTTTTGACAAGCCGAAACTGTGATTACAGTTTTCTTCCACTGTGCTGTGATATTACTTAGTGCAAATGTTTTCTTTTTCATTTGTGGTATTATCTTTTCGATTGCTAAGAAATTATACTTATCCATAATTCCATTAAAGGATTAAAAACTATCATAATAAATGTCATTTTTAAAGATCCTGTCATACTTTTCTAAGCAGATGTTCCACCAAAAATTTTTCTGCTGTTCAAGGCACTGGTTTGGATTAAGATTTGGAAATAGTTTCTAAATAGATTTTTTCATTAATTATTTAAATAGTTTAATTCCATCTCATTCGTGAAGTGCACAACCACTGTCAAGATACCTTGAACACGAACAGAATCAGGCTTTGAATGCTGATAATTGCTGCAATAAAATATATGCGCGGAGCAATCCCGTAAGATGCATAAACACAACGGAACAAACCTTCCGCATACAAGAGCATGTTCAGATTTCAAGTGCTTCAACCTTATACCAGAATCAGTAAAAATGCAGCAGATAGGTCATGACCCTGCACAAAAACAGAAAAAAACGGGAGAACAATTACACCAGGTGTGCCACCATGAGATACAACATCGTTATGGATGGCAAGTTTAAGAGTGATTATGCACTTCTGAATCCTAACTAACCTACTTAAATAAATAAATGAAAAAATCTATTTAAAAAAACTAACGTTTGTATACTTTAATCCAAACCAGTGCCTAGATCTCCTTGAAAAGTTTTTTGAAAAGACACCTGCTACATTTCAGTCTTAATTTTTATAGGCGAGTAAACTCTCAAATTCAAATATCATTATCCGCTGTTTTGTTAACCGCACATCCGAACAGAGTCTCAAATTTAGTCCGCGAATTATCCCTGCTAGTCCTATTTAGAAAACTGAATAAAATATGTTCGTCGTTGTTCCACTGAGGATAAATCTGAAATCATATTCAGATTTCAGGCTATTCTTCTCCAAAACAAATTTAAAGACATGATTATGCGTATTAAACTTTCATACTCAGCCATGCTAAACAACAAATTCTTGGTATATGATAGGCTTTCGCCGCTACCTTTGGTATAGCGAGTATCAAATGCAGGATGACTTGAACCTTGGTGAGTGATAAAAGAATTTACACAGGTACGAATGATAAAGTCGTGATTACCTGAGTACAGATATTCGGAAGGCTTAATGCCAGCTCAATCATCCCAGGAATAACATATTCCATTAGCTTCTTTGCTTCTTCACTGGATAAAAACTGAAAATAATAAGTTACTAAGCACCAACGAGATTAGATTTTTTTCTAAGTGTGTGCACATTTTACACGAGATCAGTATTATGACGCCTTTAAAAAGTTCGTCTAAAATTCTTGGCGATCTTC